AGGGAGCTCACCTCCAGGTTAACTGAACTGTATTTGTCTTTCTTGTACCTTCCCTCTTCCCTGTGGAAACCAGAGTTGCTCACTGCTGGAGCCAGAATCTGATACCCTGTGGAGTTTATAGCCCCGTCGCGTTTGAGTACAAAGGTATTCTAAAAGTGAATAGGAGCTACCCCCGTGGTTGTCCAGGGCACTGAGGCAGGATCGGCGAGGTGGCTCACAGAGGTCGAACACCTCACATCTGGGGCGACCCGGGCGCAGGAGCTGAGCTGGGCCGTGTGCTCCAACAGCGTTGGAAAAAGTGGAGCAGGTCCACTGGTTGTACGGGGCCTGCCGCTCCGCCCTCTCATTCGTGTCGTGCTCCCACAGGCCAACTTGCCCCTGCTGCAGCGCGAGCTCCTCCACTGCGCAAGGCTGGCCAAGCAGAACCCTGCCCAGTACCTCGCCCAGCATGAACAGCTGCTGCTGGATGCCAGCACCACCTCACCTGTTGACTCCTCAGAGCTGCTTCTCGATGTGAACGAAAACGGGAAGAGGCGAACTCCAGACAGGTGAGAGGGAGGAGGACCCCGGGCTAACCGTGGCCCTTTCCTCCCATCTGTGGTACAATACCCGTTTTGTGTCATGTCTGAGCTGCTGTCCTCTTGCAGAACAGCGCCAAGCCAGGGGGCCGTCTCTGAGCTTGCGCTGGCCTGGGGTGTTACTGGGTGGTGGTGACTCCCTGGCCTGTGTCAGTTAGGCTTTTGGGCAGCTGAATCTTCACTAAAAGAAGAGGTAAAGACAACTGGCATTCAGATGTCCTAGGTACCACTGGTGTTTCTTAGACATACAGTCAAGATTAAGGTTCTCATTTATTATATAATTCAACCTGACCGCATATTTTGCCCTTCAGTGTTAGGAAATCTGCTGTTCCAAGTTTTCTCAGGACGTGGTGGTTTTGAAAGCTGGCTCTTATGCATTGCTCAATAAACACAATGCAATAGCTATTTAATTTGGGGTTTATATGAGTTAAGAGAAAACTTCTGGGAAGCTAGATGAACCGAGTGAAGATAAGCTTTAAGTAATGGAGTTAATAGATGGCATTTTTTGCTGAACGCTTTATCAGCCACTATTCGTTTCATCAGACACTCTGCTCTCATCGCTGAGAATTCTCAGAACTGTAAAACAAAGCCCCCTCTCCATTCAGCCCTACAAAGAGGTTGTTGAATAAGGCATATACATGAAATTTCTCATGTTCCTGTTAAAATAATTTTCTCGAGTACCTCATCCTCAAATATAACTATTTTCTAATATTGGAGTATGAGGTCTCATTAGCGGCATCTTGCATAGTATTTATCAAAAGATGGAACCGTATTAAAATGAAACTGTATTCAGAAATGTATTTGTCACATGATTTGTTTCCTTTCTCTACTTATCCATTCCCTCTTTCTGCATTTCATCAGGCATGAATGTGACAGCCTTTGAGAGGGTTAACATTCTGGCACAATTATGTTCCAGATTCATAGGAGCTTAGGATCCTTGGAGCTACTCAGAGACATCTATCTGTGACCGACTTAGCTACCCTCAAATGTATTAGCTGCTTTGCAAATCAGAACGTTATTAAAAGCCAGCCAGTTTACATACAGTTATTACATAATCCTCTGTTAAGCAGTTTTTATGCTACAGTCTCTGGAGTTTTTCTCCTCTTGACATAGGACCTTTTAGTAGTTTAAAATCCTATAGCAAAAGGTTAAACATTAGTTTACTTCTGACATGCCTTAGACCCACCTCCAGACATGACCTGCCGACCGTGCCGCTTTCTCGCTTTCGCAAGCTGTATTTCCTCAGTCATATTTAAGCATTTGGTACTTTAGCTTTTAAAGGCAGCTGCTTAATCCAGGTGTCTGAGTGGCGGGTCCACATGATACTGAAGGCCAAGAAGCAGCCCGAGGATAGATGATTCACGTGCACCTTCCTGTCTGATTCTAACCCATTTACCCTGCAGGATATCGTTACTAGGGGCAGGAATGGAGATGTTCTAGCTCTGTTTTTCTAGGATAATATTAAAGAGTTAGGGGGAGAGTAGATGGACAATTGGGAAGAAAATATTTATTGGAGTGGACTCTGGGATACTAGGGAAAGGTTTAGATGGCTGTGATAACGGTAGTAAAGATAATCCTATAGGGCAAAATTGGAGGTGGACACAATCCGTTCTAGAAACCCCAACTGCTGAGTAACAGACAAAACAGTGTCCTGCCCTCCTCTGTATTCCCAGCTGTCGCCCCACTGATTTTCCTTCCCAGTGTTTTGTTTTCTATTTGAGCGTGCTGTGCCTGCAGACTTTGCCTGGGCGACGCTGAGGTGAGCCTTGAGCAGTGTGCTAACACTGATGTGGAAACTTCCTGTAAGTTCCACAGATAACCGGCATTTTTGTTTTGGCGATCTGCAGCAATAGGTGCATGCATGTTTGCGTTCTATCAGGTAGAACTTTCTTAAAAGAGCCTCCAGGCTTATTCTCCCTTCGGTTATTCATAAAGAGTTGCTGGAGTCAAAATTCACACAGTTGCTCTTTGGCTGGAACATTCTTTCTCAAGTGGAGCCCTGAAGTGTGTGTTTTAACGGAAGGATGGCAAATGGAGTTCCTTAGAGTTGGGAGGATGGGAAATGAGAACATGCTGTGTAAATACATTTGTATCTTGTGGGAATCTGATCAGAGCCAAGAAAATATGGGTCTCTACAGTATTTTTTTGCATATATTTTCTGCATCTTGTTTGCATATGCATTTTCCTCTTCTCTGGTTATTTATCTGTATATCCAGATCGACTATATGAAATTTTATAGAGTATGGAGCTGTCTGACAGCAGAGCTTTTTTTGTTTTACTGAATGTTTTGTTGGTGCATATGGTCCGCCATGGATGAGCAGCCACGGTGAGATTTTGGAGTCTATTAAACTGGCTCATTAAAAAGATCAATCTGTTTCTGTAATAACACTGGGAACCATCAGTCACTAAAAGAGGGAAAAACTGACACCTGAGGAGAAAACACATTTTGGTAATTTGTTCATGACATGTCACGAACAAAAGAGCGCTCTATATTTTGTTTACAACTTTGGGGGCTCAAATTCCGTGACGATTGCAGATTTAATCTACTGAACAGTTATCATGTATTTCAGGGATGAGTTTTGGCAAATTTAACTTTCTTCTCCTCCTTAAATAGGATTGCCACTGGTAGTGGTTGTTTTTTCTTTTTTTTAAACATTATTGTTATTTACAGAGAAATGAACCCTCAGGGGAAATCTATGAAATTTTTTTTGTCTGTAAAAAAAAAAAAAAACAAACAGTGAAATCCAGGCAACATCCTTTTTAAAGGATCTCCAGGGTGAGTTTTCTGAACAACTGTACTGAATTTGTAGGTCTGTGGTAAAATAGTGTACGACCCCGTTTAGAAAAAGACAATTTTCATTTTAAACTCACGCTGTTATTTAAAATCCTCAGGAAAGTGAATGGAAAATTCTGCTTTCTACTCTTTGTTGCCATTTAAAAGCTGATTGGTTGCAGTAGACCTTTATTCTGTCATTCTGTGAGGGAGGGAGCTGACGAAGAGGATAGGAACCTTCCTTGCACTGATTAAACACAGTGACCACTTTAAAAAAAAAAATTTTTTTTTAACATTTATTCACTTTTGAGAGAGAGCTAGAGTGCTAATGGGGGAGGGGCAGAGAGAGAGGGAGACACGGAATCCGAAGCCGGCTCTAGGCTCTGAGGTGTCAGCACAGAGTCTGACGCAGGGCTTGAACCCACGAGTGGTGAGATCATGACCTGAATTGAAGTCCGACGCTTAACCGACTGAGTCACCCAGGTGCCCCGGCCACTTTTAAAGACAAGACTAGAAGCGCACTCTTTAAAACTTTTCACCATATTCATCATGAGGACACTCATGCTTTCATATGGGGTGAGGAGGGAAAGAACAATTAGACAAGGCTGCATTCCTTCGAGACTGCAAAATGAATAAAAATGTTTAGAGTGAAAAAACCCATGTAATGTTAATGATCATTGCTACTTCTCTTTTCTCGGCTTTGATATTGCAGCTTTTGGTCATAACCTGTCTTTAATATTGTGTTCATACCTACCTGTTCATGCTGATCTTCTGACTCAGAGACTCCTTTTTGCTTGAGACATCAAACTGACTGATCTTGGGTTTGTATGGATAACACTATCTCCACCTCCACCCCTGACTGTTTCAAATGATCAATGTTAAATATTAATCCTCTTCTTCCATATCATTGTTTTAATTTAACTGTGCTTTAAATTGTTCTTAGCTTAACAATCTAGATTCTATTATGTAAGCCACGTAGTTGCATTATCATGTATTACCTCCTCCCTCAATAATTAAATATTAGTTTCTAAAAAGACTTGTTTGACCTTTAGAATTCTGTAGCTTGTCAGCTGGGAGGCATCTTTTGGATCTATCAGGCCAACCCTTTCTCTTTACGCTTGAGGAAATGAAGGCCCAAAGATCTTGCCTAAAGTCACTAAGCTTCTTAGTGGCAAAACATATACCTGAAATCTTGCAGTTGCACAAATTGTGTTTAACGTGCAGTTTAAATAAGCTCAATGAGGAATTGGGCTTCCCCCCCCCCTTACTTTCCCTCATTTGTTTCTGCTGTGTGATTGCCCAAGTGGGTAAATGTGATAGTATAATATCCTGGGGGTTTATAAATCTCTTTAACGACAGAGGACCCACAGCCAGCCAGGTTTCCTGACTTAATGAGTAAGTTAAAAAATGCTGAAGGTTGGAGGGTCAGAAGACAGTCATTTTGAAACTGTGTTGTTTGAATGTTCAGATTTGTCATCGCAGTACACACTGGCTGATCCCACTGGGCCCATTTGTCCATTTCTGTAGAATAAGTGAGGTTTCAATATTTTTGTCTTTCTAAAAAGAAAAGGCAGATACACTTTACAGGGAATTGCAGGATTAACTCACGATGCAAATAAGAATTAAATTAGTATTGTCTACTGCATCCAGTTGTCTATGACAAAATATAGGAAGTTTATGTTAAATTCACACATTCTTGTTTCATGCTGCATCTTTTACGCAGGCTTCAGTTGCATGAAGGGAGTAATCATTCTTGTAGAAATGATTTTTTTAATATATAGTCAGATCAATTTTGAAGATTTCTAGTAAAATAGGATTAAGTTGCATTTACGTGATAAGAAGACTTGCATGGTTGTAGAGGACATTTTGGTCTCTCCACACCAACCTGAACTTGCCAGCCTTATGTCTTGCTGCTCTCCTAGGATCTAGCCCTGCTGAATCCTCTTCATGTGTTAGTCTGTGTTCTGAACGGTGGTTTCTGCTCTGTTCCTTGGTTCTTATATGTCATCATTGTATTCATACTTCACAGGCTAACTCGGTATCTATTTAAATGAAGGCTTCCCAATCATAAATATTAAAAATGGTTACTATTTGGGGTGTCTGAGCGGTTTAGTTGGTTAAGCGTCCAGCTCTTGGTTTCGGCTTAGGTCATGATCTCATGTTTTGTGGGATCTAGCTCCATGCCAGGCTCTGCACT